AGACTAAGTCGAGCCGTGTAATATATGTACTCCCCTAATATCTCTTTCTCCTCCTTTAGGTTATACCCATTGAATGCATTAAATATATAGAGCCACTATATAGATTATAGATACAACTGCGATCTTGCCAGTATGGGCAAGACTTTGCCTTTCAACTGTATACAAGGAGAGGGCCAGAAGCCTTGCACTTTTGCTGAATAATGAAACACCAGAGTTAAGACTTATTGAATACATGATATAATAGGTTTGCTAGGTCTAAAATACTGCACCCTTCAAGTATCGATCGACTGCGAACGACCCAAGAAAAGACCGCTTGAACTGTGCAAGGCAGTACGCGAAAATCAGCTTCTCTCCCGCAACTGAGCTGCGAGTCTCTCTCTCTGTTACTATTGTCCAATTTTCTAACACTTCTAATCCAGTGATGACAAATATCCTATGTGAGCCAGCCAAGCTCGGTCTCTTAAATGCCTTGACGACTTCTGTTTTATCTAGTGCAGCAAATGCGTAATTAAGCAGCGAAGATTCAAACCCATACCTTGTCATGTTCCCCGCCGTCACGTCGACATTCTGTAGATTATTCTGTAGATGATATTTTATCTTCTTATAGGATTAGCCTGGCGAAATAGCTGTACGTGTTGATGATATGATGGATGCGATGACGTCCTTGCTCAAAAGACCTCGGGCTGGATTAGATGGATCTGTTAAGACTTGACCCAGCTGGATAGGGCTATCAGTGCCGAAGACAAAGTCCAAAACGGGCATTACCATCCAGGTCCTGTGTGGCTCAGTGCGGAGCGATGGCGAGCTGAGCCGCACAAGCGGCTAGACGAAGCTATAGAGTGTCTAAAGCGATGTATGGGTTCTGCTCGCGGGCTTGTCAGTAGTTCGGGTACCGTATGTAGAGGTTGTTCCGTCGAATCGTCTGACTCTTCTCCTCGGCAGGCTACACTTTTCTTTGTGCCGTCCTTTTCGGCCAAAATTTCCTCTTGGCGGAGTTTAAAGTTTATTCTTGGAATCATCGAGCCCTCTCGGATGCCTGATAACTTGTCCTTGATAGTATCCGAGGCCGTAAGCGAATTCGTGATGGGGAACTCGGGCAAATCTGCCGAATCTTCCTCAGAGTCCTCGGTTGATACTTCTTCGTCTGCCTCTTCAACTATGGATGAATTGAGAACCATTAAGCTAACTTGAACATGATGACGCGCTATGTGTGACTCGATCTGTCGGCGAGATTTGATTGATGCCTTGCAAAAAGGACACTCGGCCTCCGCATTAGCTAGAATCTCTTGTCCCCGTGCCATAGGAAGAGATGGTAGATCGAATGCGCGATCCTCATGCTTGGATGCAAGATGCTTTTGAAAGGCTGCAAAGTCCGGTATGACCAGAGAACATCCCAGAGGGCAGGGCCACCGACGCCTATGGAATGTAACTTCATGCTCAAACCATGCGCGGCGACTAGAGTAGAGTTTGTTCGGGTCAACATTGCAGTCAGGAAATGTACAAGTATAAGGTCGGAGATCTCGTAGTATATGTGCTCTGTAGAGAGACAATGATTAGTATTATCCCAAGACAAGCTACGATGCTGAAACTTACCTCCATATGTGCTCGGTCGGGAGAGGCAAGGTAAGATGACAAGCAACACATTCACGCAATCCGCCCTCAGAATCTGCCGGAAACGGCGGCATTTGGTATTTCATTTCGTGATGAGACTTTGCTATCGACATCAGAGATATTGTGTCGCTGTTTTCTGCGAGAGGTTGACTGAAGGGGTCGAGATTTGAGTCTGCCTGACTAACAAACGATGATGCAGCTCCTAAATGAGTGTCGCCAAAGGCAGGCATAGGTGGACTGAAGGGTTTATCTGAGACAACAGAGTGCGGTTCTTGCTGAACGTCGGACTGAAATTTTAAATTGTAGGTTGCCGCGTAGTAAAAGAACCGCCGCCGTTGTAGACTTGCGAGCACTAGGCGAGTTAGGAGCTGTGATGTGAGCTCAGGGAATAAGGAGGTCAACTTGGCGGAACATATTTGCTTGAATTCTTCTTCGTCTGGGAGCACAATCGATATAGCTCTCGCTTCACGATCCGCCGACAGGGCCGGGTGGATAATCGGAATGATGCGAAACAGGACATCAAGCATAGAATCCACAAAGCCTAGAGGATCGGATGCCGCGCTTCTTGCCATAAGAATTCCAAGAGCAGACGGTTTGTCCTTCATCAAAGGGGGCGAGATAGCTGGAGGGCGCAAAGCATCAGGATAAGTCTTCAACGATATGAATCATACCCAAGCCTCCCTAATGAGAAGGGACAGCAGGAGGCATATGGAAAGGAGGCATTACCTCCTGGCCCCTGCGACTCGTTTTGCAGCTCTTCCAACGCATCCGCGATGTCATCTAGGCAGCGCATAACATGGCGCTTGATGGCTGAAGCATCACGTAGGCGCTCATCTAAGGAGTAGACACTATGGAGATGCGCGCCTAGTTTATTACACCACTTCCTAAATCGCAGTAGCGTTTCCCCAGCTGCCTGTGCAGTTACGAAGCGGGATGGGGCAGAGTCTTTGGCAAGCGTCTCTAAGCCCGAAGTTATCCTTCGTGTCCGAGCATATATGGGCTGTTGCCCATCGTCGAGGACTGTGATCGTTGTGTTAGCCTCGCTGTCTCGGGCAGGCTGTGGCGTCGTGGTCTCCTTGCTTTTGGCATAGGGATCATCGAGAGAATTCGTATTGCCCGATTGCGTCCTCGGCGCTGAAACCACCGGAAGGGCTCTCGCATGGGAAGGCGATGGCATGGCACCGGTAATGGGTATGGATTCCATTTGTAGTGCATTTGTAGTATGAATGAACGTGATTAGCGGAGAGCTAATGGACCTGAGGGAGGGCTACCTTACGGGTACAAAACGTGAGTGGCATGTTTTGGGCCGCCCATGGTTGCCCAATCGGAGAGCCCGTTTGCCCCTGAATCAGTAGGTACCTACCCTCCTACCTACTATTGTAAATTTGATATTGTTTCTGATACTCACTCTGGCTCTGGTACTCGCCCTATGGTTCAACAGGCACTCAAAGGAGGCTGATTCGCTTACTCGAGCTTCGATGATGAAGACTGTGTTCCTATAGGCACCACGGTAGATTGCAATCTTGAGGGTTTATGCTGGCAGTTTTCATACTGCCTTGGGGAAGGACGTTATGTCACATGTGGTTGCTATTGTAGGAGGGGACGAAAGATTATGTCTATTTAAGGAACCCTCTACGGTGGCTGCCGGCTTCTTTACTCTATTGTTTCTTATATACCAATTTCAATTCTGCTCCTAGCAGTACCCCTGAATACCGATATGGCTGCGTTTTGAAGCTGGATAGTGATGTCGCCGTTGTGTATGTGAGCTCACAAGGCCTAGCCCGCATGCTAAGCAATTCACTTGACGCTCCCACGACCAAAATCAAGACCGCGTCTCGTAAACGGGGAACGCGAGGCATCAGACTTCAAGTTAATCCTGCAGCCGACGGGGCGACTCGGTAAGCCGGAATACCCTCGAAATGCTCTCTAGCATCAACGCAGAGGCCCGACGATAGACAATGTGACAATCTTGCAGCTTCCATCTAGCTGATACGAGACAGACAGAATCTCGCCAATTAACAATAATACGGCGATTCTCATTTCCTTGCAAACTTCAAGATGAACGTCCAAACACAAAATCCTCTACCCAGGCAAGATATATATCCGCGTCGAAAGTTTCGCACTCCACCATCCATCGGGCAGCCAGCGCTCTAGCCAGGCACCATCTCCACTTGGGCTTGTGGTTTAGTGGTATAATACTCCCTTAGCATGGGAGTGGTCCGGGGTTCGATTCCCCGCGAGTCCATCGTCGGAGGTTCAATCCCTCCTATACCAGATTTTTATTTTTATTTATTTTTGTTATTGTTCTTGTTTCACTAAATACTAAGTACTTTTGCTCTTTTGCTCTCGTCTCCTTTTCGGTGCTTGTTGATTGTACATTTGCTCTGTGGTAGGGTCTAGAGCTCGTAGTGAGTGGGGTCCGATGGCGTCGAAAGTCTTAGCAGGGCAAGAGGAAGCTTCGGCTACCTGTAGGTACTTGTCACCTCGGGATAAATGATGCATTGGAACCCAGTGATGAAGATGCTTTGCTTATATTTTGCTCCGGACAGACTTATAGGCCTTGAGAGCGTGTTGCTGATCAGTGATGTCCTACCTAAGGAGACGCAGCATGACGAATGAAGAGCGAATGAACGAGAGTGCAGGACATATTTCTCCCACTCAGTGAGCAATGCTTCTCTAAAGTATCCGACAGGAAGTACGTGCGAACCGTTGAAATCGCAAATGTCTATCCATCTATTTATTTTTCTAGTTCTCCACTCGAGCTTCGGTTACTCAATTCGATTTAACTAACCTAGATAATTCCGTCCGACCTGCGACAAGTCGATAATTTGAATCCACGTGGACATAGACAATCGGCCCGATCCTACCGCATGTTGCGAACTTGCCGTCTTTCGCATTGAGGCACAGAATGCGTCGTAAACAGTCGACATCCTCCCAGGATTGTTCCGCCTCATCCCACATTTGAATTTGCTTAAAGTGACACATCGCGCCTTCGTAGTTTGTAAATTCAAGTAATGTTTTGTTGCAAAGCTGATCTCAGCTAGCTGAGAAAGCTAGGACGTGGGACATGTTCGTGCTTCCCTCGATATGTATAAATAATACGAAACGTAGAACTATACAATGCACATGTTTTACAAACAATCGATGTGTTTAACTGCAATTGCTGCACGCATTAGAAGACCCTCGAAAAGAACAACCCAACTGAGTACAAAGTCAAGTAAGACACAAGCAGTCCGCGTCTTACATCTATAACATATGTCTGCCTTTGTTTCAATTGCTATAATACAACATTGATTGAGGTCACTGTTAATAAAACATTTGAAACACCAAAAACTTAAGCGTGTTCTGCCTTTTCTTTATCTCTTCTATAAAGAGGCAAAAAGATAAGCTGACAAGAGTGGGATTCGAACCCACGCGGGTTGCCCCAGAAGAATGCTGCCCGGTAAACGGGGAAGGAGAACCCTTGAGTCTTCCGCCTTAACCACTCGGCCATCTTGCCGTAACTTTAGTTGCTGTTAGTTCTCGGACCAGAGGGTTTGGTTAAGTACCGCCGTGGAACACAGCGGCTTCATTAAACACCCAGGGAAAAAGCCACCATGCACAGTCCAGAGGTAATTACTGCCTCATCCTTGAGAATAAGTTTACCTTTGAAAAACATATAAAGAAATTAATATATAAGGAATACTCACCCTTTAAAGTGTATATACCTGGACAGATTTATACACCTTGCAGCATTGGAGAAAATTTTGAATCGGGGTATCATCTCGGATTTAAGTTTGGACAAAAAGAGTAAAAGTTAATTCCGAATCGGGGAATCGAACCCCGGGCTGGGCGGATCCACTTTGAGAGCGCCCCATGTTGACCACTACACCAATTCGGATGGTCTGTTGTTTGTTGGGAAGATGAGAGGCAAACATTGAATATTGGGAACTCGCTTGTTGTAAGTTGGCCTGGCTGTATGTAGTTCTGGAAGTGGCGGGACTTGGTGTAGGAATCATTGTGGGAAGGTAGGTAGGCAGGCGGCAAGAAGCAGCTGCGTCCTGCCTCCCCACCAAACTTTCCGAGCCCCTGAGTGGATGACTGGCCACCATGCTTAAACTTTGAGGAGTCATAGCCTTGCTTACACTACGTATCACCTGTTTTTAGGTAGCCTCAGATAAGTTAAGTACTTGCTCAGTAGGTACTCAGATAGAAACAGAGATTAATACTTATCATAGGTAAGGTTCGCCTAGGTACTCAACCTATGTGTAAGCACCTCTCCACCCTCCCACCAGGTAGAATATAAAATGCCATCAATTGGCACCACGCTCACATATAGGCTTTCCTTTCCTCTTTTCTATCATACCCTACGGTACACATCGATGATATCAATTCATATGTCGGTTCTTCCAAAGCACTTTGACATGCTGTAACTGGCCAGCTGTTCTTTTCAATATATTCGCCAATGATGAACCCAACTCGTCCTCCCCCTCACCCTCTGCATGAGCATCGAGCAACAAGCAGAGCGAGGCCGAGCTGGAATATACGTGTAGTGGCCTTTCCATTTCGATATCAGGGTACTGAGGCGAAGATTGAGAGTGAGGAATAGGTGATTTCGGATCATATCTGCTTAATAATTACCTACTTGCTTGCATTGCTATCCTTACAGTTCTCTCTCGTACTTGCAAGTGTTGTCTATCCGTTTGTCTGTTCTTTTGTCCTTCTGTTTGTCCCTTTTCTTGAAAATATCTGGCAAGTGCTGGGCTTTGGATCTCGAGTGCTCAACGTCTCATTCACCCCCTCTACTAACACCACCACCCACTGACCAATTGCTTTCTCTTATCTACCCCAGCATTTGATTTCAAAGGCTCTCTCCATAGCTGTAGTTACCTATGTGTAGCTGGATTTCAGCAAAAGAAAGATGATTCTATCCTCATGATTAAACCCTTTTATAGCTCCTATTAGTTCATGTAGCTAGTATTAAATAGTAACCTAGATCATGATAATGTTCCTCGCTGATCCAAGGTTCAAGAAACTCGCACAGAATATCTATCTAGGATAAACTCACGAACTACTACAGCTCTCCTCGTGATGAAAAACAAGCACGCCCCAATAAGTTGCTACCCTGCTGAGAAGAGAATATATAATATAATGGATTTGCTATTGGGGAGGAATATCAGGTTTCATAATACACCATAAAACAGAATTTGGCAACTCAGAGACCGGCTATCTGATCAGGCACACACGAAACCTAGAAATTGCATCTTGTCCAGTTCCCGTCGAGAAACTAGAGTCCAGGGGGGCGTGTGTCGGGTAAGGAGTGATGCAAGACAGGAGAGATTAATACTACCTACCCGGAAGAAAAGAGAATACGTCAAGCCTGTCAATGGCTTGAAGTAGCAGCCGCTCAACAACATAAGGAGGCATAGCGTGCTCACAGCTTTCGGAAGAAGGCCAAAGTTGCGTATACTAACGAGTCCCGCGATGGATTTAGATCTTGTGTCGTAATAGTCTACCGATATTATTATCAGCTATGAGGTCGTGATCTCATGATTAAGCGCCTATGATCAAGAGAGATGGTACATTTTTCTTTGCCAACGGCACAAGCCTCGTAGTAGGAACCCAGTTGTGGTTCATATATCTATTGCATATGTGCCCAATCACTCGTGTCGCGTAGCCAGTGAATGGCGAGGGTATGAAGGAGACCTCTTGGTAATGGCATATCAATGACGCCAAAGGCGCGAGGAGCAGAAAATTGAGCCTGGCTTCGGGTGCAAAGAGCGATGGTCAGGAAGTATAGCGACAGGAACGCCAGGTATCTAGCGTGTGATAATATATCAGTAGAGATGTAGGAAAGACTGAGCCCTCGCTGCCCCAAATTCCAAAGCAGCGGTCGATCAGGGTTGTCCGGTGGGCCCGGCGGTTATCTGCATAGCATCCAGCGTGAGACCCCACCCTCACACGTGCAACATCGAGCGGATCTCGGTATCGATCTAGGTATCTCTCAAGTCAAGGCAGCATGAAATCAGTAGGAGGTGTATACATATCTCTCTTGGGTCCCCCGGGGCGAGACATGCTTCAGCCGCCGATGGCCAAGAGTGGCCTAGGAGGATATATCAAACGGCGTTGGAGCCGCTACCCGGGCGAGATCAGTCTGCAGATGACGTACCGCACTGCAGCCATGCATGCCTCCTCAGCAGGGAGGTAGGGCATCGGAACCTCTATATATAATCTCGGATATCTAGATCGAAGATGAGATGACGGATCCCAGCGTGCTCTAGGGTTCTGTCGTCGTCAGGGGCTTTCGGCTCATGCATTACCACCCAACCTAAGTCGGCATGCCTGCTCTTCTCGAATGGTCGTCTCTCTCGTAAAGGAGCAGGATATTGTCCAGGCAATCTCAATCAGCTCCAGGAAATGGGACCTCGTGCGTGTGCGAGGTAGCCAGCGTTGCCTACAGAATAGCCATCAAACGAGTCGACTATCGAACCCCGAGGGACTCTTACGCGTGTGATACCCCGCATGCGTGGTCTTTGGCAAGCTCAAGCGGGGTCGCAACTGTGCGACGACGTCAAAGTCGTACCTCCGAATCGTAAGAGTCGAGCGATTCGGATTAACGTCCCATGCGCGTCTGGCAGGTTCGTCAAATGCAACGACGGGTCGACATTTTCTGACCGAGCCGGCGGCCACGGTCGTAACCATCACCATCCCACGATCCTGTTCTAGGGCGTGCGAGGTGGCGGCGGATATCAGAACGCGTTGTAATCCCGGCCAAGGCCAGATGGACAGACAGCCTTTCCAAGCCGATGGTTGAGGCCACGAGATGGGGTAGATGTGGCGCGGATGGGGTGTGGGATCCGGCTGATGTCTCGCTAGGGGGCCTCACTTATTATATTATAGGCAATCACATGCAGTCGTTTTCGGTATACGGTATGCCTACACGTGTACTAGCGGACACCACCCCGGCGTCGGGGCGAAAATGACCCTATCCTCGCCTGGACTTGCAATGGCACCCTGAGGCCAATGCGTGATACAAGCTCTAGATGGGTGAAGGGTGCTACCTAGGCGACCGGTCGCCTTAATCATTCGCCAGATTTTTACGTACGTACCGAGCTTAGAGACCTGGTACAGGCAATCTAGCTATGGTTCCCCACGTCCGTCCACGCGTTCGGCGTGATCATCTAGTTCCGGCCGTGAAGATGCTGTATTATTGCTGTCGGAGGAGCTAGGTATAAGAAGAGGACGATGAATCACCATGCTGATGAGAGCAAACAGAAAGAGGGGGGGAGAAGGGGGGGAGCTACAAGTAAGAGTTAGAGCCCTACTCAAGTGCCGACCTAGGTATGTGGTTGGACAGAGCCGTGTGTTGCTAGGTAGGTATCTCTCCTCTTCGGTATGCAGGGTAGCAAACGGGGAAATGATATTGTGTAGAGATGCTCAGGTTTCGCTAAGCGTACCCATTTCCGACCATGAGAGTCCAACCACTACTTATTGGATGGTAGTGATCCGAAGAAGTCATGAAAAAAATCGGTATACCATTCGTTGCCTGGATTAATGGCCAGCCTCGAGTCTCGTATATGCAAAATCCGCTGATGGTAGGGCTTGGTAAATGAGTCGATTTCAGGTTTTGCGCCCTTGCAGGGCTAGTTAATAAGGTGCTGGGATATATTTGGGGCAACTCTCTGCCTACATATACACCTAATATAGTGTACCTGTGGCCTTGACCTTCAATGTTGGTTGTTTGTAGGTCGTCGAAAGGGGAAATGATAAACTTGGACGGATGTCGGTAAGGAGGTATACTTGAGTAGGTACAATACTCAAGGAGAAAAGCAGGACAAGACTGCAGGCAAGTTGAAGTCTAGACCAAATCCAGGCAGTGCCAGTGCCCCCCTTTGCAGAGTAAGCCTACCACTGAGTACAGAGGTACAGCCAACTGGTGTACATGAGGAAGTACCAACATACACGTACGTAAAACCTACTTTTTTGATGTACTGCGTATGTACCTTGAGTAAAGAAGGCAAGTACAAACCTAAGGAACATGTTCTCTCTTAGTAAGGACCTCAACCTGTAAAACTCATGATACCTACATCTTATACCTCCATATGTACACCAGCGTCATAAATATACGGCGGTACTACTTGGGTTCCCCACCACACCTAAGTACAACTTGTGAGTGAGAGAGGGAGAGACAAGAGAGAGACAGCCTGAGGCTAAGTAAATTTTCAGAGACCCGCGCGGCGACTGCTAGATAAGTAGGTACTAAGTAGTATAGCGGCCACAATCAATCCCATGGAACCGACCATCTAATGACCCAATTCTAATATCCACCACCCTCATATTTTATCCACAATTCCGCTCCCCCTCGCTCCTCTTATTATCCCTGCCAGCCCGCCAATTCTTCCCCCACCAAAAACTGCCCACCACCATTGCCCTCCCTCGTTGCCCTCCCACTATTACCATCCATCACACACTAGATCAGGTAGAACCAAGCAGCCATGTTTCGGTAGTCTGACGTTGGGA